ATCAGCTTAGCTGCCAGAAGGACTTAGCACTGATATTAGCTGATTTGATCTCCCAGGTCAGCCTCTTTTGGTCCCCCCCTCAGAGCATGTGAAGCGGCAGCACTGCTAAGAATGAGTCCAGCGTCATTAGAGAAGGACAACCCCTCTATGTACATGCATGGCTGCAGAACAGCTCGCAGCAATAGTAAACATTTATTACAATCTGGAACGTGCCATGCTCAGGCATGAGTGCTGAAGATGGGCAAGTTTTGGAAGTTGTTCTGACTCTTATGTTCTTTTTTTAAAAAACTTTTATAAAGCAAGTTATAAAGCATGAAAAGCATGGCTGTTTGCCATCATTTGCAGCATGATGGATTAGTGGCTAGCACTGGTACCTCACAGCAAGAAGGTCCTGGGTGTGGTCCCCAGTTTGAGCCTGAGCTCTTTCTGTGTGGCGTTTGCATGTTCTCCTCGTGTTTGCGTGGGTTTTCTCCGGGTTTGTTAGTTTCCTCCCACAGTTCAAAACTTGCACGTTAGCCTCCCTTACAAAATAGATTAGTGATCTCAGTGGGATTTGCCTGGTTAAATAAAGGTTAATAAATTAATTAAATCATGTCTTTCATTTTTTTTATAATTTGTTTTCAATCAGGGGTCAACAGGTACACTAAGCTGTGCACTAGTTTGTTTTTTATTGTGTGCCACCAACATTGTTTTAAAGACAACACTCTTTTTAATATAATTTTGTTTTACTTGGTAAAAGACGATCCTGTGGTTACCATCGGTCAGTCTATACAGCAACTGGTTTACATAGATATTGTCATTAGACAAGTAACTTTTCTTTTAGACTGTTTTAGGCATTATTACAATTATTTATTTTACAAACATTTTAAGAGACAAAATTTGACAACTGTGTTTCCTTGTGCAACTTTAAAATATGATGAGTTTTGGTTATCCTTCCTTTCCTCTCACACTATAAGTTTCAAGGAAGAAATTCAAACAAATATAAAACTGTTGTGAATTATTTTATTAAAGTTGTAAAGGAGCATCTATTTATGGGTTGTGTTTTATAGTCAGTCAGTTCTTTAACCAGAAGATCTGTGAAGTGTGGCTTTGAAAGACCTCAGTTCGAAAAATACAAATGAGCTTTGACCAGACTGACGAGATAACAGGAAGTCTAACTGGACCAAGACCAAAGTGATTAATGCTGAAAACTCCATTCACAAAAAGTGAATGTAACAGGGAAAAACTGTATTATACATACAAACCGGATTCCAAAAAAGTTGGGACACTAAACAAATTGTGAATAAAAACTGAATGCAATGACGTGGAGGTGCCAACATCTAATATTTTATTCAGAATAGAACACAAATCACAGATCAAAAGTTTAAACTGAGAGAATGTATCATTTTAAGGGAAAAATCTGTTGTTTCCAAATTTCATGGCATCAACAAATCCCAAAAAAGTTGGGACAAGTCCATTTTTACCACTGTGTGGCATCCCCCTTCTTCTTACAACACTCAACAGACGTCTGGGGACAGAGGAGACCAGTTTCTCAAGTTTAGAAATAGGAATGCTCTCCCATTCATGTCTAATACAGGCCTCTAACTGTTCAATCGTCTTGGGCCTTCTTTGTCGCACCTTCCTCTTTATGATGCGCCAAATGTTCTCTATATGTGAAAGATCTGGACTGCAGGCTGGCCATTTCAGTACCTGGATCCTTCTCCTACATAGCCATGATGTTGTGATTGCTGCAGAATGTGGTCTGGCATTATCGTGTTGAAAAATGCAGGGTCTTCCCTGAAAGAGATTATGTCTAGGTGGGAGCATATGTTGTTCTAGAACCTGAACATAGTTCTCTGCATTAATGGTGCCTTTCCAGACATGCAAGCTGCCCATGCCACAAGTGCTCCTGCAACCCCATACCATCAGTGATGCAGGCTTCTGAACGGAGCGTTGATAACAACTTGGGCTATCCTTGTCCTCTCTGGTCTGGTTGACATGGCGTCCCAGTGTTCCATAAAGAACTTCAAATCGTGATTCATCTGACCACAGAACAGTCTTCCATTTTGCCACACTCCATTTTAAATGACCCCTGGCCCAGTGCAAACATCTGAGCTTGTGGAGCTTGCTTAGAAATGGCTTCCTCTTTGCACTGTAGAGTTTCAGCTGGCAACGGCGGATGGCACGGTGGATTGTGTTCACTGACAATGCTTTCTGGAAGTATTCCTGAGCCCATTCTGTTATTTCCTTGACAGTGGCATTCCTGTTTGAGGTGCAGTGACGTTTAAGAGCCCGGAGATCAAGAGCATCCAGTAGAGTTTTAAGGCCTTGACCCTTACGCACAGCGATTGTTCCAGATTCTCTGAATCTTTTGATGATGTTATGCATGGTTGATGATGATAACTTAAAAGTCTTTGCTATTTTATGCTGGGTAACACCATTCTGGTATTGCTGCACTATCTTTCTGCGCAACAATGGTGGAATTGGTGATCCTCTTACCATCTTGGCTTCTGAGAGACACTGACACTCTGAGAAGCTCTTTTTATACCCAATCGTGTTGTCAATTGACCTAATTAGTGTTAATTGGTCTTCCAGCTGTTCGTTATATGCTCAATTTCCTTTTGCCAGCCACTTATTGTTACTTGTCCCAACTTTTTTGGGATTTGTTGACACTGTGAAATTTTGAATCAACATATTTTTCCTTTAAAATGTTACATTTACTCAGATTAAACTTTTGATCTGTCATCTATGTTATATTACGAATAAAATATTGACATTTGCCATCTCCACATCATTGCATTCAGTTTTTATTCACAATTTGTTTAGTGTCCCAACTTTTTTGGAATCCGGTTTGTATTTATTTTTGTATTTACATATATTTTAAGGCTTTAGAAACCCTTCCCACACTCTTGCAATGTTCTAAGCTCTCAAACCTACGTCATTTTAACAACGTGTATATGTACAGCACAGTAGCTACTAAATTTTACTTACCAGGCTCTGCAGAGCAGGAGTGGCTCTCGGTTCCGGTCCGACTCCGGTCTGTCTGTTCAGTTTCTGCAGACCTACCCGGCAGTGACAAAGTCCACAATCAATGTGCTAAACTCTTAAACCTACTAATTTTAACAACATGCTTAGCTGCTAAATTTTACTTACCAGGCTCTGCAGAACAGGAGCGACTCAGTTACGGTCCACCCCAAGAGATGAGAAAGTCTCGGTGGGCTCCGGATGGAGCGCCAGACCTTCGGCAGTGTGGCCCCGCTTGGAAGTCCTTGTGGGCCAGCTAGGATCTCTCGAGTTCACCGCTGAGTCTGGGGATCCGGTTCTGTGCAGCCAATCAGCACCTGGGTTACACAATGCTCCGTTTCTTCAGGAGACGTGTCCTGACAGGATTTGTTTCTTGTGAATCTTACGTTAGTAAAGTTTAATTTTCTTAAAGAAACTTGTCTAAGTGACATGATTAAAATCTTACGTTTGAAAAGCCGGCTGGCAGTCATAACTTTGCTTTCTGTTGGGCAGAAAGTAGCAGCCAGAGGCACTACAGTACAGTAGTGGCTTCTGGGAAATGAAGTCCTATTGAGTGGTGATTACAGTATAGGCTTATCGAAAGAAAACTACAAAATAGCGGCACCTGTCCGAATGTATTTATTTATTTATTTTTACATTTTCCTAACCACGTGAGTACAATAATATTACTGTAAAGTTGACTATCGTGTATTGTGTACTACTGCTCTGTACAACTTTTTTTTTCTATTTTTTTGCGAAAGTCGAACTGTCAAGTAGCGAGGGACTACTATAGCTCATTTAAGATAATTTTACTGTATTCTCTTTTCATGCATGTGTGGGTTTTAATACGTTCACCATTTACAAACGGATCTTTAAATCCAATGTCTTTTTTATTTTATTGAATTATTTTTAATGTTAATTTGTAATGCACCTGTTTAGTTTTATGTATTTTTCAAGTTGTAATCTTAGTGTTGGTAGGAAGCACGTTGCACTTTTTTTATTGTACTCAATCCCCAATGGAGAGCCATTGGGTTTCTCTGCAGGAAATGTGCCAGACAAATAAAGTTTGATTTGATTACATCGATGTGTCTGGAAGTGCAAGCAGCAGCAGCTAGCTGTAGCACTTCTAGTGCACACTGGGGCACTTTCAGCAGGAATAGAATCATGTTCTTACCAACAGAAAAAAACATGTAATGCAAAACTGAAGGGGATGCATGGGTTTATAATCTAATATTTGATTCATGAAGCACAAACAAATGTTTGAGATTAGAGTTGTTTTAGAACAATTAAATTAAACTATTTTTTTCTAAGTGAGGTCGTTCAAAGAGCCATCTATAACATGTAAGATATTTATAACTTACAACCTGTCTCAGCTCCACTTTAGAAAATCTGAATTAAAACTCAAAGTCAAAAAAATAAATATTTAAATAAAAGTCTAACAAATTAGCCAACAGAAATACCAAAACATAGATTTACTTTCTTTACAATGTTTTTTTTTTTAGTTAAGCTTATTTCTACACATTTACACTTAATTACTTGTTTAAAAACAGCTTGGTTTCAATTAACAATTTATCATTAGTCTCTCTTTAGTATCAAAATTAGTATCAAGTATTTGACTTTAATATGTGGATACACATATTAAATAAAATACTTTCTGGAGCAGAACTGCTTGTGATTTATTAAAGCTTTTCATTTGCAGGCACTGACTGAGTGAACAATTGAAAGGAGTATCCAACAAGTCAACTTGTCAAACATTTTTATTTTGTTTGAAAATTATATTTTAACATTTTTAGATTAGAATTGGGAGTTTTTTAGTTTTTTTTCCCAATGAGGTTTTATTTAATCTAAATACAGTTGATCTATTAAAATGACCAAACTTTCTTAATAGAAGCCAAAATAATCTTTGCATATCAGGTTTTTTGCTGAATCCTGTCCTATAAATTGAAGGAAGTCAGAAGCTTCAAAACTAAAACAAGAAAGCCTTCCTTCATCTTGTGTTGGTTTTTGTTCCTTCTCAGACCATCAGTGACAGCAGTCCCATGAAACGGTCGGCCTCGTCCTTGGGGCACAGCAGGTCTGGGCGGGGCCACAGAGACAAAGGAGGTGCAGATGACTACACCATGGAGCATGCCATACCTGAGGAGGGGCGGGCTTCCAGACATGGACACCGCCGAAAAGACCGGAGCCATCGAGCGTCGGAGCGGTCCTTGTGTCGCTACAATGAGGCTGACGCGGGTGAGAATCAACACAAACATTATCCTCCTTCGTCTGCGCTTGTTCGTTTGTCGTGTTAGCAAAATATCTCGTGAACCAGGATAGATTTGTGTGAAACGCTCAGAAAGTAATCAGTGGACGTACATCTTCAACTGAACAACTTTTGGAGTCAAAATGGCCACCACAGGTTACCTAAAGTAGTCAACACAAACATGGTTACGACTCGAGATAAAATGAGGTGTTGCGGTAGCTGAGAGTCATATTCAACTTGTTCTCTGAGCACTAAAGCATCTACTGAGATCTAACAGAAGAGACTGCACGGACAAGGTTTGAACTGAACAAGCACCATATACACCTGCATCCCCTCTCGGCATGATTTTCTGGTTTAGATCTCTGGTATGGAAGGTGGAGGTTCATATGCGTCCCTTCAAGAAATGCTAGGCGGTTGTTTTGAACTCCTTTCTAATTTACTCTACGCATATTTTAGCTGATTTATTGATTCCAAGTGTTCAAATGTGACATGTGGTGGACGCCCATTCTTACTCCCTCATCAGGCCTGGGCCCGGACCAGTCGGGTGACCTCACCTCGAAAGAGAAGGATCGAGACCGAGGTCGCTCTAAAGACCGTAAGCATCACCACCATCATCACCATCACCACGGCTCCATTGATAAGGAGCGCTACGTAGCAGACAGAGGGGGCGAGTATGGACACCGGCACTCCCGGGAGATGGAGCACGACCGGGACCGGGACAGAGAGAGGGACCGACGCTGGTCTCGATCGCCCAGCGAGGGCCGCGAGGGCCGCGAGGGCCGCGAGTGCATCACACATAGACAGGTGGGCTTTCTGTACGCAAGGTGTAAATCTTTAAGCAGCATGTTGTCTATTAGAAGCAAAACATAGCCGTCTGAAATCGTAGAGCATTTCAAAGTTATGATTTAAGGTCCTTTAATTTAACGAGTTACCTGATTTGGCAAGTATTTTCTAATGATGATGAAACCATTAAATATGCAGTTGTGCTTACAAACATTCTGAAAGGCTATTCAGTTTTCAAAAGTCATATTTAATCAAGAAAAGTCTAATTAACAAGCACAGATTTTTTTTTTAAATACTGTAAAAAAAAAAAGTATGTTTAAAAATATAAAAACTGTTATAAACCCAATCCTGGCCAGATTGATACATACAAAGATGGAGTCACAGTAAAATATAGACGTCTGCCCTCAGATTAAACACATTTGTCGTGTTCAAGGAACCATAAAAAAAATCTTGTTTAGTTATGCATTTATGTTTTATTAGATTTGCACAATTGTGTTTTTTTTTTTTTTATGTTTTTAATGTATTTATTGAAGCCACTTTGTTCAAATCACCAACATCCAAACAAATATGCATAAAAAATGTATATTTGTCTAAATGTCTTATTCTTGCCTGTGTTCTGTCCTGTCACACCACTGGGTTTCTCCTTTTGGATACCCTTTTCAAACAATTTTAAAAAATGTGAAAATCAATCCAAATGTCTTTTCGCAAAAAAAATAAATACAAAATAAAGGGAAATTGCAAACATTTAGCCATGAAGCCAGTTCAGATATTTGCAAGTGAGCTTTTGTGGAATGAATACGAACAAGCAGTATCTTACCTGTTGTAAATATCTCTTTGAACAGCCTCAGTTTGGAGAAACATTTTAATTCTGACCAAATATGCAGAGCAAACACCAAAGTGTGTTGCTACGAAACTAGCAGCTCATGCAAATACTAATTTATAAACGTTTGTGTAATTGTGTAATGTGACATTAAAGCATTTCTCCAAATTTAAGCTGATCTTTCTAGAACAGGTAAGATTTTTACCGTTCCTAATATTTCCACTGAACCCCACTTCATAGCATCTGAACTGTCACGTTCAAGTTTTAACATAAAAGAATCAGAAAATAACACTTTTAATGAAGAAGAATTGTGATTTACTGAGTTGAGCTTATCTCTTTTTTCTGTCTTGATGCATTTACTAAATGTCACACATTTATTTAAAGATAAATACAAATATTTGAATGTATGTATGGTTGCTGTATTTACCCTGTGCTTAACAACACAACCCTTTTTTTTTTCTTTTGTCGTCTTTTGCTTTTTTTTTCTTTGCGTGACTTGTTGCTTCTCTTTGTGCTGTTTGGTATTTCATCCTTCTTCACCCACATTGCCCGTTCACCCACCGCCACGCCGCACACGTTCCATGTACATTAAATTGCTGCTTCTCTTCTTATTGTTGCTCTGATTCTCCTTCTTGTCCTCTGTTGCTCTTCAACTTGGACCCTTTGATCTTCCTCTCTTTCGTGCATTCTCTCGTTTCATACTCTTGTCTTGACCATCCTCCTGTTTATTATTCAACACGTTTTGTCGTTGGAATTTGTGGTTCGTTTTTTTATTTGCTTTATTTCACTTTTTGTGTAGGGCAGTAGTTCAGTCAGCGGAAGTCCTGTCCCGTCGACCTCGGGGACCAGTACGCCACGTCGAGGCCGTCGACAGTTGCCTCAGACGCCTGCCACCCCCAGACCCCATGTCACATACTCCCCTGTAGTCCGTAAACCCACGCCCACGCCTCCTGGGGGACTGCAGGGCAGACCCCCAGCCCCAGTTCCTCGGCACTTTTCCCCAGAGCCTTTCCAGGGACAGGGTCCTCCAATGACCCACCACGCTGCGCCCCGTCAGGGTCATCACCCCCCGCCTCGCTGGGGAGACACAGGCAGTGGTGGTGGTTCCGTAGAAGGGGACGGCTGCTTCTACAACCAGGACTACGAGACGCATCATGAACCACCTGCTTATGAGCAGAGCTCCGTACAGGGTGGAAACCCCCACCCCCACAGCCTGGCCAACCACCCACTGCCATCGCCCGCACAACCACAGCCTCATAACCCCTATACCCTTCCTCCCCAACAGCCTCACCCTATCAACAACCCCCACTTGCAGCCTGCTCGCACCTCACCAAGGACTGTCCACCACGCGCCTCCTCCCACCACTGCCCTGACGGGGCCCGTGCAGAGCCAGGCTCAGCCGGCCGCCCAGCGCCGTCTGCCCAACGGCTACCGAGCCCCATCGCCGTCCACGCATCTCCACGGACACAGTGGGCCTCACAAGATCCCCCCTCCAGCTGGGCATCCGAGAGGTTCCCATAAGGGCCTGCATGAACCCTTCGGAGAGAAAGAGGAAGACGATTGGTGCTAGCCTCTGGGGAAGGGGGAAGGGATGTACGAAGGAAAAATTACGGATGGACTGAAAAATAAATAGAGCAAAGAAAGCTCTGAGCCAGAGCAGCGACTGCCAAGGGATATCACAACTTTTCTTTCTAGTCTGTTCATTGTTTTTCCTCTCCTCGCTTCCTCGGGGGTGTCCCAGGTGACGTTGCTTGATAAAAGCTACGGTGTCAGGACAAGAAGACGGAGCGCGAACGCTGAGGCGGAATCTGGAGGAACAAGACGCAAACCACGGTTCGTTTGTTTTCCATCGTCTCTCGATGCCAAAAACTCAAGTCGACGTTTTCATGGACGGCGGGAGGAAGGATGGATGCTCTTCGTGTCTTAAATTACTGTATGCCTCTGGCAACGAGCTATAGCCACTTACAAGATGTCAAGAGTCGCGACTCGATAAAAGACACTCTAAAGTCAGAGACGAGGGAGAACATTTTCCTTTTTTTGAGGGGTGGGGGTGATTTTGAGGCTAACTTTTGTCAAGTTAGCTTAAAAAAAAAAAGATCAGATCCAATCCTCCCAGCCACAAGTTGAATATTGATGAGTTTTATCATCTGTGTTTTTAAATAACGACTAAACTGACAAAGAGCCGCCTTACCTGTATGAGGTGGGGAGGCTAAGTGGGTGGGAGAGTTGGGGAGCGTTGCAGGGGTCTTGACAAAAAATAAAAATCTCTGCCAAATCTAGACGATACGACGGGCGAGCGTGTCGACGAGATTGAACACTTCTCCCGGAAGCTCTTCAGCCGACCTCATCCCATCACCTGCAAGGAAAAATATTTAAAAAAAATTAAAAAGCGGGGATGTATTTCAGAAACAAATAACAGTTTTCTGCAGTATTTCTTCTCCTCCTGCAGCTGCTTCTTCTTCCTCCTCCTCTTCTTCAAAACATGGAAGCTTGAATCTTCTGTTGCAACCCACGCAGCTTCGTCTCTTTTTTTTTTAAGACTTGCGGAGTTGTACAACTTATGGAATCCTGCATGAATGATACAAAAGAATAATAATAATAGCAACAATGAGAATCTACTGTCCGTGGGGAGGATTTGACCACTCCCCTTTCCGTTGTGGTCTATAGGGTTTCTCTCTTTTTTTAATGGAAAAATACTTTCTGTTTCTCTCTTTGTACTCTGAATGACATTCCTCTTGCTTCATTTACACTAAAAATCAAAAGACAGGGCTTTGGGGAAAATTGGATGATAAGTGTATGTTTATCTGAAAATTATAAGTTGGGGGGAGGGGTTGATGGGGACAAAACAATTACCTTTTGCTTGCTTGTCTACTGTTCGTTCTGTGCCAAATGCCTGCCACTGATACAGCTGGAATTGCACAAATTTTTAGTGGAACTAACCTTTTTTGTAACTAAGGTCCTAAAATAACAAAAGGTATAATGGGTAGCAGGGTAAATATGGATTTTTGAAGATGAAAAGGGCAAACGTGGAGACAATAGTGGTAACAAATCAGTATCATCTCGAAGTCTTCCAGAATTTGGGGGTTCAAGCAGAGGCATCAGAGAGGAAGAGACCCAGAGAAAGGCACAGAAAGGAGAGAAACTCTTCATCTTTGTTTTCTTTCTCACTGAAGGTAATAATGGATAAACTGCTAATATAAATATATATATATATATATATATATTATATGTTTGTAATGATCACGGAGATTGTGAGGATGAGGTGAATATTTATGTTCTTGGTTCATTTCGAGCTCAGGTTATCATTTTTCCAACTCTGCGGTGGACCTCAGCCACATTGTGGAACGACGAGGCGGAAATAAAGCAAAAGAAATATGCAAAGTTAGGAATGTTTTTAAAAAGATTTATCAAAGACAGCAGGTTTTTTTTTTTTTTTTTTAAGTTTCCTTTGGATAACTAAACCAGACTGTCACTATCATCGATCAACCTGCAGGGGGCGCTCCAGGACAGTGACGCTTCCTTCACAGTTTCAGAGCGTTCTCTAGTAAAACACCTCACCTGTGTTCACCTGTGTGTGAACACAGGGGACTGAATCAGTTCAGAAGGGTTGAAAACTGATTTCTGAGCTTGGAAATCACCAATGTTCTGTGTATTTCACGTTAAAATGGAAAGTTCAGATCTTTAGAACTGGGGTTCTGTAGAAAACTTGCGGATATTCAGTATTTTATTGTTTTATTTTAAACTTTGTTGTTGTTTTTTTTTTAACAAATTGCCTCAGTTTGGAGAACGTTTAATTTAGTCTGGATTGACAAGCAAGCTCAAATGTGACCAAGACCAAAGTGACTTCCTGCCATCTTTAAACAACTCCAGCAATTCACAGTAGGTGATGGCATTTTAGACCAAACGTTCTTTACATGTGTCCAGTAAATATTAAATTTTTATTCAAATATTGCAACCCACCACCACCCATCTCCTTGCACTGTCCTGCTAAACTCACTCATGACCTCTAAAAAAGTTAAATCTAGTCCTCTGGACATTCAAAAAAACCCAAAACAAAGCAAAACAACAAAAAATGTAGAAACGTTTCGTCTCTCGTCCGAGAGACTTCTTCAGTCTGAGGTGCTGTTTTCAGCTCAGTCTCTTAAATAGCACCTTCTCAGAGTGGATCAACCAGTTTTGCTGCTGACAACCAAAACCAGCTGATCACATGCTCAAGAAGGACCATCAGCCTAACAATGGATCATTAGCACACTGATGGCTGTTTACTATTCACAGAGGGCTGAGTGATACTAGCAATCACAGCATTGTAAGAGGGGGACAATTGAACACGTAGGCCTCCACCCCTGTTTAATGATGGACGGTTTCTTTTCACAAAGATGGCCTCCTTTACTCCTCTCTCAAACCATCGTTCCTCTCTATCCAGGATGTGAACATCTTCATCCCTGAAAGAGTGA